GTAAGCAATTGGGCCTCCTTGAACAGCCATCATCGTTTGTATGCCATGAATGTCCTCTTGATTTAGCCCAGAAGGTGATTAGGGGGAGGCTCTTTTCCCTGAATAGTGCCTTTATCATTAAAGGTTTAAACTCTTAATTTTAGTTTTCTTAGTATGATTATTCTTATGACATACTTGTTTTATATCTACATTTATTTTTTTGAGTGTTAGAGTATGTTAGGAAATTACACAATGAATGATATTTCAAAGTAATCAGGAAATCTTAAATTCTGAATTCTTGTCTAGATGTGGAGTCTTCAGAAAATGAGAATGCCAAATCTTTAATTTCCAGCAACTGAACTTTATTTTATTTTTTAAATAGGAACAAGAGTATAGCTGTGTAGTAAAGATGCCTTCTGGCGAATTTGCACGTATATGCCGAGATCTCAGTCATATTGGAGATGCTGTTGTAATTTCCTGTGCAAAAGATGGAGTGAAATTTTCTGCAAGTGGAGAACTAGGAAATGGAAATATTAAGTTGTCACAAACAAGTAATGTCGATAAGGAGGAGGAAGCTGTAAGTAGTTTCTTAAGTAAACAGAAAATACTTTGAAGAGCATTGTAACCCTTCTTAACATTAGGTTGTGCCTTAGTCTATTCAGGCTGCTATAGCAAAGTACCATGGACAATGACTTATAAACAACTGTAATTTATTTCTCACAGTTCTGGAGGCCAGGAAGCTGGCAGATTCGATGTCTGGTGAGGACCTGCTTCCTGGTTCACAGACAGTGGGCTTCTCACCTAATAGAAGGCTCAAAGGAGCTCTCTGGGGTCTCTTTTAGAAGGGTACTAGCACCAAGCACCTCCTAAAGGCCGTACCTCCAAGTACCATCACATGGGGATTTGGTTTTAACATGAATTTTGCAGGAACACAGACTTCAGTCTATAGCAAGGTAATTGCAACTCAACAGAAGGATCTAGTTGAAGGTAAAAATTTACTTTAGGAGCTCTTATGTAATCTTTATATTAACTTTCTATACAGTAGGCCCAGTAGGGGGCCCAGAGAACCCCTATTTAGGGACAAAATAAAGAACACTCTAATTACTAAATATCCTTAAATTAAGGTTTTCCTATATAATCAAGTGTTTTTAAATGATATTTATAAACTAATATTTTGTAATTATATTTAAAAAAAAAAAAAAGCCTTGCTAGCCTTTAAATAAACATCAGTTAACTCTGTAAATTAAGGACAGTTGAAGGTTCTAACCTCATAGGATTATTAAGATTAAATATGGTAACAAAGTGCTTAACATAGTGTCTGACATTTTAAGTTTATAGTAAATATCAGATATTCTAGTCCCTTGCGTGAGTAGTCAATCCTTAGTTTAAATGAAGACTTAAAAATATTAGTAGCAAAAGTCCAGGGGCTAATTCTGAATTATTGGTCTCCTAAATTATATTGTAACTCCACTGCCATTCTGGATTTTTGTTTTAATCTCGAGTTCGTTCTTTTTTTTTTTTTTTAAAGATTTTATTTATTTATTTGACGGAGAGAGACATAGGAGAGAGGGAACACAAGCAGGGGGAGTGGTAGAGGGAGAAGCAGGCTTCCTGCTGAGCAGGGAGCCCAATGTGGGGCTCAATTCCAGGAACCTGGGATCATGACCTGAGCCGAAGGCAGACGCTTAACGACTGAGCCACCCAGGTGCCCCTCAAATTAGTTCTTCTATAAATATTTTTATATCTGAAGTATGAGCATTTTATCACATTTGGTATCAAGAATTTTTCAGTGTTTTCCTATTTCCTTGGTTATTTCAAAGTTGTTTGAATTAAGATTAATAAGCTCTGTACATTGTAGTTCGATGATAGGCCCTCAAATTCTTTTAATCTATTGGTTCTCCATTCAATTTCTTTTTTACCCCCTCCATTACAATTTGTTGAAGCAAATCCTTTGTCATTGAGTTTTACCGAAGTCTGGATTTTGCCCATTGTATTCCTTATGTCAATAAATACGCTCCTCTAACCTGTATTTCCTATAAACTGGTAGCTACAGCTCTAAGAGGCTTGATGATACTCAGTGTTTCCTTTGTTTTGGGAATGAGAGAGCAAAAATACAGATGGTGGTATGTGTACCTCTAGTAGGTATGAAGTGTCGTATATTTTCTTAGCAGCCATAATAATCATTTAGAATCATTAGGTCATTAGGGTTGTAATGTATTAATACATTTCATTCCTTCATTTATTATCTGATTTATTTATTAGGAACATTCCCATAAAGAGAAGCTTTCTCTTACAATTTGTACCTGAGCTACAGTTCATATGGGAAAGGCAGACTAAATACTTGATTCTTTTTTTAATTTATTTTTAATTAATGTAATGTATTATTTGTTTCAGGGGTACAGGTCTGTGATTCATCAGTCTTACACAATTCACAGTGCCCACCATAGCACATACCCTCCCCAGTGTCCATCATCCAGCCACCCCATCCCTCCCACCGCCCCCCTCCACTCCAGCAACCCTCAGTTTGTTTCCTGAGATTAAGAGTCTCTTAGGTTTGTCCTCCTCTCTGGTTTCATCTTGTTTCATTTTTCCCTTCCTAAATACTTGATTCTTTTGATTTACCAGTCCTCAAAGTTAGTTTCATATCACTCTCCAAAGTAAGCAATAAAGGGTTTTTTGGTTTTGTTTTTAAACGTATATTCTAGGGGTGCCTGGGTGGCTCAGTCAGTTAAGCGTCTGACTCTTGGTTTTGGCTAAGGTCATCTCATGGAACGAACCCTGCTTGGGCTCCACACACAGCCTGGAGTCTGCTTGAAGATTCTCTCCCTCTACCTGCGCCCCTCCCCGTCTTGCGTGCACCCATGCGCTCTCTCTAATAAATAAATCTTTAAATATATTCTAAACTAATGGGTTGCAACTTTCTTGATGTTTTTCAATATGATTAATCTTTTGTTTTGTCTCAGGTTACCATAGAGATGAATGAGCCAGTTCAGCTAACTTTTGCACTGAGATACCTGAACTTCTTTACAAAAGCCACTCCGCTCTCTCCTACAGTAACACTCAGTATGTCTGCAGATGTACCCCTTGGTAAGATAATTGGTTTGTTGAATCTTGTTTTGTAGATGGTATAGTGGACTTCTCAATAATTAATTATGTTCCTGTCTTCTTTCAGTTGTAGAGTATAAAATTGCTGACATGGGACATTTAAAGTACTACTTGGCTCCCAAGATCGAGGATGAAGAAGGATCTTAGGTATTCTTAAAATCCAAGAAAAGAAAGTTAAGCTCTTTAAGAACTGCTTCTGAGATGCCAGCATGTACTTGAGTCTGTCACCAAATTTGTACCTCTGAATACATATGTAGATATCTTCTGTAAATAACCTATTTTTTCCTTCATTCTTTACAATTTGTTTAAAGAATAAAGTCCAAAGTCAAATCTGGTCTTGTTAACCTAGGAATATTTCTGCCTTACCCAAAAATACTTGTGATTTTCATAACAAAAGGGTTTTGACTCTTAAATACAGTTTTAAGAATTTTTTCAATTTAAATAAAAGTTATTTGAATTTCAAACATCACAAGACAGTGCCTTCATTTGGACCATGACTATTGCAAGTATCCTAGGGAATTCAGTTCAAGCTACCATTTCATGTAAATGTGCTTATTTTTCCAGTCTAGAGCAGCCTGATAAAAATACATTAGATACAGCAATAAAAAGTATTCCAAATACAGTAGGTGACAAGATATTTTTGCGGATTCATTTGTCAAACTTATTTTGGTATTCTTCTAACTTGAGTTCAAGAAATGAACAGGAGGGTAGTCCTATATATATATTGTTATTTTGTCAATTTTGTTAGCAAAAACTAACACTTTTTTCAGAAGCTTTATGTACCCAAAGCTATGTGGACTTTAGAAGACTAGCATTGCTATAGGGCAGTGTTTCTTTGGCCTAGGGAGCCTTTTAAAAGAATCTTGCAAGATTTAGTAGATCTGTGATAGGGCCCAAGCAATATGTGCAAAAATAATTTTTCTAATATAAGTAGCCTTTTTTGGGGACTTAATCCTAGCGGTTGTGAAACGGACTGTTTAAATGTTCCTACTAATTGTGCCACAAAGCCACAAGCTGGCATAGTACATTTGAGAATTGCTTCATTAAAGTTCTTTATCCCGGTGTGTTTTGTGCTTGGTGGTTTAAATGACTGGTTTCTTTTTGTAGTATCTGGACTGAGTTCTAGTTACTGGACGGTAGAACTCCCTGTACCCAGTAGGTTCATTACCTTCTGTGTGCCTGGGGGTCGGGAAGGATATTGGCTGCAAAGGGGCCTGATGGAAGTTTTGGGAATGATGTAACATTAATAGAGACTGGTGATGGTTCCAAGACTGTATGCACTTGTCAAACTCATCCAATTGTACTTTATTGTGTGTAAATTATACTTCAATAAATCTGACATTTACAAAGCTTCACGTGCTGCAAAATGTCCCTTGTGGGCGGGCCTCTTACCTGGGTCAGGCCCGATGGTGAGGAGGGAAACTGAAGCACAAGAATGTGGGGCCACTCGAGAGTAGTGGCGGGGTACTGACCAGCAGAGACCACGGCGCGCCTGCGGGGAAGGCCTACAGCCCTGGGCAGTGACTGGGAGACCCGGCCGTTCCGGTCATCCACAGCTTCACTGTCTTGGCTTCCGTCTCCCGTGGGTGCCACTGAGCTCCCAGCACTGCCGGAGGGATCAGGGAAAGGAACAAGTAGCCGGTTTACCCGGAGTCTGACTGTGACCCAGACGGCCGGTCACCCAAGGCACCTACACAACCCAGCGGAGGTGACCGGCAGCAAACCCAGGGCGCAGCGACTCCCGCAACCCCACGGGGCGGAACTCCGCCGGCGCCTCCCGAGAGCCCCCGATGCCGCCCGCAGGATGCTCCCACTAGCGCAGGACCGAAACGGGAAGTTTCGAAGAGTGGAATAAGAGGACGTCGCTCCCGGTGACGCCACTTCCGGCGCGCCGCCGTTTGGCGTGCCACTTCCGGCGCCGAGCTGGGCGGGTGGGGCGGGTGGCCGTTAGGTGAGGCGTGCGATGAGGCCTCAGGCGTCTCTGCTGCCAACGGTGAGCGAGCTGTCGGCGCGCGGGCGGCCTGGCGCGGCGTTCCGGTAAGGCGTGTGTGCGGCGGGGCGGGAACAGAAGCGCCCCCCTCAGGAGCCCGGCGGGGCCGAGACTGCGCTCCCTGCCGAAATCCACTTCGCGTCGGGGTGTGGAGCGTTCGCCAGCCTGGGTCACCGCTGCCCTCTTCCCAGAAACCGGTTTTGTTTGTTTCCGTCTAAATTCGCGTCGGTTTTTATTTGTCTTCCTGGCTAGGCTTGGAGATGGGCAGGAAGGTAGTGTGTGTGGAGGCGCATAATGCCAGGCACAGCGCTGAATGCTTTACTGATGCTTTTAAAGTCTTGCAACCCTCGCGTGTTTAGGAAGTTTGGGGGTTGCGGTGGAACCGGTAAAAAAAAAAAAAAAAAAAAGCCTTTTGGGAACTTGGACTGGTACTCGGTTTACGTTTTTCCTTCCTCTTGCAGAATTCTTAACTCTTTGCCGCCAGTAAGCATTCGTCTCCCCTCTCCCTGACACCCTGCGATTTTTTATGTTTTGATACGGGTGTATGAATAGGTAATGGCAGAGTATGTAAACTTTTTTTAAAAAGACGATACAAATCAGAGGTGATTAAATGCCCTCAAAACCCCCACATACCGGTAGTTTGGACTTTAAATTTTGTAGAATTAAATTTAGGTTATGTAATCGGGATCGCAACACTTAAAAACCTAGTATTTAATGCAGTTTGAGCTAACTTCAAAAAAGCATATAAATTAGCATTCTGGATTCAGTACTTGATTTCTGCACTGGTATATAATATAAAAAGGGACATTTGCATTTAGCACCAATTCCATCATAATGCTAGTTATTTTAGGTTGACTGCGGGCCACTTAAAACGGCTCAATAATTGGGATAAAGTATATAGAAGGCACTTAGAGTAGTACCTGGTATCTCACCAACACTGGGTAATTATTAACTGACATTATTATAATGATGATGGTTATTTACAAAGTATCATACCAGAGGAAGGCAAAGTCTTTATGGTTTCTGTTTTTTTTTTTTAATGTTGTCCTTATTGTGAAATACTTAATTTTCCCTTTTTACGGATCCACTTCACCTTTAGAATTAGCTTCACAATCAAAATAGATTTACTTGTTTTATTCATATAACTTCGTGATTTTATGGCAGAAAAGTGCACAAATTACAAATTTTTCCCCCATTTAAATGTCATTGTTTTTTAATCTTATCTACTATCTCTTCAACTAGTGACAAAATAGCCATGATTTCATTACTGAAGTTGGTTTTGAATATTTTGAACAAAAACCAGATTTTATTTTATTTATTTATTTTTTTTAGGAAGCTATAGAAGTAATCTGGAAAATGAAATCACTACTTTCAGTGCTTGGGGTGGGGCAGAGAGGCAGGGAAATTGGCACTGGTACAGTGCTGATTACCAGTACTGATAGTGCTGATAGCCAAATTTACAGGAAGCTCTACAGATTTTTTGCATTAAAAGAAAGATACCCATTAAGGGGGATCAACAAAATGCTGATGTGAGTGTATTCCATATCCTACCCATTCTCCGTCCCTGGCAAGTAAGAGAATCATTTGAGCATATGCTCTTTTTGCTTTTTCCTGAAACAGGGACAGGGGCCAGGCAGTACTATAGCAGAATGACTGAAAATGTGGACTTAGGTGTCAGACTCAGATTTAAGTCACCACTCCTCACCTGCTCTGTGTGAGGCTTTGGAAAAATTAGGAGGCACAGGAATATTGGTGCCAAGATAAACATGAGGTCTGTTTCTTGGCAAATGTCTTGACTCTCGTTCTACCAGGACAAGTCAGAGTAGATACATAATGAGAATGTTTTCACTTTGTCAAAGGAATATCAGATTTTAAGTGCAATGGAGTATAAATTGCCAGTTGCTTAGTATGACATCTCAGCCCAAAACTCCCAATATATGTAACACACTGATGTCACTTGCATACAATGACAGTTTTCTTTGTCTTCAGACTATAGCTGTGTCAGTGTGTTATGATGCCATCCCGTACCAACCTGGCTACTGGAATCCCCAGTAGTAAAGTGAAATACTCCAGGCTCTCCAGCACAGACGATGGCTACATTGACCTTCAGGTAAATGGCGAAGGGAGCTGATGAGACTGGCTGGCTCTGTTTCTTTTGAGTTAGCAGGAAGACCTTACAGGTGGAGGATTTGCTAACTGTCCATGGGGATCAGAAGGAGCAGCAAGAAGGAAACTCATCTCTGAGACCCTTTCAACCATAGTTTGCAGAAGGAGGGGCCTTGGTAGAGCAGTTTCAAACAAATATAAATATTGTTCATTTCTAAGAATTTTTAGTTGTAACGCCAGAGCCCAGTAGTTATGTATTTTATTTAGTTTTTCTGGAAAATACTCAGATTGTGTTTTGTTAAGTAGAATTTTTTTAAGGACTGTGTCATTGGTTCGTTTACACTTTAGTCAAAGCCAGTTCGTCTTTTAAGGGAGAAACTAGCTGCTAAAGCCAGCAGATTGTGGGAATCTTCCTTCTTTCCTGATGTCATGAGATCCAATTTATTAAAGGTATTCTTTGTGGCAAACAGTAAGTAAAACAGAATATTTGTTAAGTTTGTATTCTACCCTGATTCATTATTTATAAAATACTTAATGTGTAGCATCTCCTTTTGACCACTTCCCCTTAGAATAGTTTAGGTGGAACCAGGGCTAAGGAGGAAGAGGCAGGAACCCATCCCTTTAAATATAAACAAATCAATGACTCTTTGCACTCTTCGGACCCATACTTGAAGGAGAGAAGTTTTTTTTTTTTTTGAAAGGACATCTGGGAAGCTTCCAGCCAGTTAGGTCAGATACAGAAATGAGGCAAACCTTAGAAAGCTTGTCTCTGAATCTTAACTTTGAATTGAACTTATTAACAAGTTAAGTTACTTGATCCATGGGGTGGGCAACTAGTGCTTTAGAAAAAGCTGTTTCTAAAACCTTTGACTGTATGCTAACTTAACTTTGAATGCCAGAAATCACTAGTTTTGTTTACTTCTCCAGACCATGATATTCACTCTTGAATCCCTGTAGATTAGTACAACCTTCCATGTGCCAAGCATTTAATAAATACATGTTTAATCAATGAATGACCATTAAAGTGTCTTTTGTTTTTGTAAGAAAATATTTTCTTATGGTGAATGGTATGTGGAATGAGATTAGAAGTAGAAAGAGTAACATTCTGCTGGAACTCTTCTGAGTGATTGTTAGAGCAATAACTAGAGCTTCACTTCCTGTTTGTCCCTTGCCTTTCTCTCCCAGAGCTCTAGTGGGTAGTAGGACTTCCTTCAAGACACACAAAGCATCCACCTTGGTTCTTATTATTCTCCGTGCTTTAAAGTGTCTCAGTCCTGGTATTTTCATAATGCTGTGCCTTTTTTGTTTATTTCTCTTCCAGTTTAAGAAGAGCCCTCCTAAGATCCCATATAAGGCCATTGCGCTTGCTACAGTGCTGTTTCTGATTGGCGCCTTTCTCATAATCATAGGCTCCCTTCTGCTGGCTGGCTATATCAGCAAAGGGGTAAGTTGAAGGGTTTGTGGGAATGTGCCATGAAATCTTTAAAGTGGGCTCTATTGTTTTATATTCATATCTAGTACAGGATTTGCCAGCAGAAAGAAGAAAAGAGTGTTCTTTCAGATTTTGTTCTCTGATAACGAAGCATATGTTTCTTTTTTTGAGCAAGAACATGCTTGTCCCACAGTTTCTGTGAGGTGTGGGGGGCAGGTAGGCGCATTTTCCCTCTGAGATGTCGAGCAATCTTCCCACTGTGATAGTTTAGAACAGCAAAGCTGAGCCTTGCATTGAGGATTCCTGGTTGATAACGGCTGTACCTGGAGTAGAATGTGTTATTGCAATTTTGCAGTGCCACAGACATTCCAGGTTTGGGGAGAAACAGTGAGGCTTCTATAGGTCTGGGGCCACTGACCAAACCAGGGCTTGTGACTCATGAGTCTGATCCTTCTTACGTTGGGTTTGGTTGGAGTTCTTGTTATGCTTCCGAGTGTTATCTTCAAAACCTAAAGTGGTATTTGGTGGTTCTTTTTCTCGGGCTATATACATACACTAATAGACAGTGCCCAAGTTGATCTGAACTAATAATGATCACAAGTCATGTCTGTTCTTCAACACACACCAGGCCAGGGGATGATGGTCATATTGTTCTGCAGAGGGAACACAGCCAACATCTGAAAAACTGTGGACACTATAGAAATTGGGAATAGTAGCGCTGTTGCAATAAAATGGCTGCATGTGGTTTTTAAGAAGTGAATCTGATTTGCCTTTGTTTCTTATCTATTTAAAATTATATGGTCACCAGGTGTTTACTTGGTGCAATCTGTGTTTGAACATCTAGCTTCAGGACTGTGCCTTCAGTTAACTTTCATTGCAGTATACAGTATCAATTCCAGAGGACTCTGTTAATGATATGAATATTGAGAGTGGAGGTGACATCCACATGCAGCAAATATCATTTTACCTTGTGTGGTTTATAAAAGACTGCTTTATAAATAAAGATGTTAAGAGAATCACTAATAAGTTCTGTTTTTTTGGTTTGGAGTTTTTTCACTTTTTATTACAGATATTTCAAACAAAACAGAAGTAAATGAAATAATGTATTAAACCCCTCTGTGTCTACCACTCATCATCAACAGTTATAAACATTTTGCTTCATGTATTCCCCCACCTTTTTTTCCTGTGTATGAAACCAAATACCAGATTTACATTTTGCTGGTATTCTTTTTGTTTTTGTTTTTGTTTTTTTTGAGAGAGAGAGAGAGAGCTCATGAGAGTGGTGGAGGGCAGAGGGAGAGGGAGAGAGAGAGAATCTTAAGCAGGCTCCATACCCAGCATGGAGCCCAGTCTCACAAGCCTGAGCTCATGTCCTGAGTCGAAATCAAGAGTCTGATGCTTAACTGACTGAGCCCCCCAGGCACCTCTATTTTGCTGGAATTCTCAAGTAGCATCTTCAGTATGCATCTGTAACAGTTTTTATATAAGTTTACGGGTGCTGTATTAATATCTTTGACCTTGACTTCATATTTTTGTTAGATTTAGAGACTTACTTAGATTCAGGTTTAGTTTTCTTTGAGAAAAAATATATCATAGGAGGTGCTGTGTATTTGTTATGGCAGGTTGGTTTTGAAACTTCGATGTTAATCAGAATCATCTGGCAGACTTGTTAACACACAGATTCCTTGGTTCCATTCCCAGAGATTCCAGGTCTATAGGTGGGTGGTGAGAATTTGCATTTCTAACAAGTTCCCAGGTAATGCTGGTGGTCCATCAACCACATTTTGAGAATCATTGCTGAGACATTTCATTAGTCCCGCATTGGGCTCCCTGCTCAGCAGGGAGCCTGCTTCTCCCTCTGCCTGCCATTCCCCCTGCTTATGCACGCATGCTCTCTCTCTCTCTCTGACAAATAAATAAAATCTTTGAAAAAAAAAGAGAAATTTTTAGATTGGGTTTACCTTAGATGAGGGAAAGCTTAAAATTAATGGGAAAAATCACAAAGGAAAAGGAGGATAAATTTAACTGTATAAACATTTAAAACTGTACCTAAAAACAAGGCAGATGAATTTTATGAGTGGATTCATTCATTTAATACATTTATATTTTGGGCACAGCTGGGGATCCAGGGATGAACAAAGTCCCTGCCCTCCTGGAACTCCCCAAATAGTTGAAGCCCTATTGATAAAAACACTTAACACCATTTCTTCCTCTTCGACCTGTGAATTGTGCTCATAGGAATATACAGTAGAATCTGAAAGGCCAAGGAAAACAATGAAGTTTATTGTGGTATTCTGTACAGTTACAAAAAGTGAGAGACAACCAAAGTATCCAACAGTCGGTAGGGGGGTGGTTAAGTAAAACTGTGGTGCATCCATTACAGTGGAATGATAGACACCATTAGTTGACATATAACATGTTAGTGTCAGGTGTACAACATGATTCAATATATCTCTATATTGCAAAATGATCACAATAAGTCTAGTTAACATCCATCACCACACATAGTTAGAATTTTTTTTCTTGTGATGAGAACTTTCAAGATCTATTCTCAGCAACTTGCTAATACGCAATACAGTATTATTAGCTCCAGTCACCATGCTGTTCATTACATCTCCAGAACTTACTTGTTTTGTACTGAAAGTTTGTACCTTCTGACTATCTTCACCCATTTTGCCTATCTCCCACCCCCAGTGCCGAACTTTTCATAATATTTTGGCAATTGCTTGTTACACTAAGAGACTAAAACAAGGCACAGGGTATGGTGTATTCACAACTAGAAACTAGAATGGAGAAAAGAAGGAAATAAACGAAATATCTATGGATGAACATGGACAATTTATTTACTTTATAATTTTTTTTTAAAAGATTTTATTTATTTATTTGAGAGAGAGAATGAGAGAGAGCAAGCACATGAGAGGGGGGAGGGTCAGAGGGAGAAGCAGACTCCCCACTGAGCGGGGAGCCCGATGCGGGACTCGATCCAGGGACTCCAGGATCATGACCTGAGCCAAAGGCAGTCGCTTAACCAACTGAGCCACCCAGGCGCCCCTACTTTATAATTTTTAGTGCTTTGCAGTTTTGCTACATTTTTTTTTTAGGATTTTATTTATTTATTTGACAGAGAGAGAGAGAGGAATAACAGGAACACAAGCAGGGGAAGTGGGAGAGGGAGAAACAGGCTTCCCACGGAGCAGGGAGCCTGATGTGGGGCTTGATCCCAGGACCCTGGGATCATGACCCGAGCTGAAGGCAGACGCTTAACGACTGAGCCCCCCAAGCGCCCCTAGAGTTTCTACATTTTATAATCAGGAGGAAAAGAGATGTAAAGCTGTTCCGTTGGTAGCATACTACCCAAAGGAAATGCTCTGAAGAGTGTAAAATACTGATGTATGGGTTGAACCTATGGCTTTGTTTTATTTTAAAATTGGTAGTTTGTATGGTACTAATGTGTTTGCCACCTTCTGCCACCAGGGGGCAGACCGGGCTGTTCCCGTCCTGATCATTGGCATCCTGGTGTTCCTGCCAGGATTTTACCACCTTCGCATCGCCTACTATGCATCCAAAGGCTACCGGGGTTACTCCTACGATGACATTCCAGATTTTGATGACTAGCACCAATCCTCAACCCTGAGGAGAAGAGTCACAGATGGGACTGAGACCAGCTTTAAGATATTGAGCAGAAACTGGCTAAGGGCTAAGGAGTTCTGCAGTTTGCAGATGTTAAACAAAAGAATGGCCATCCTCAAGATGTCAACTGAGCTTACAATTACAAATTAACTAATTAGGACATGCTCTATTTTTCATCTCCTGGCTCTGGCAAAAGCTGACAAGTTTTTCCACACTAGTATGTATCTTGGAAGAGTAGCGGTGTTAATGGTGTGGGAAAGCAGGAGGTTATCCTGTAGTGGAGAGTGTTACTGCTGCCACCCTTTTTGGAGTTCAGCATTTCTTTTAAATAGTCCTTATTGTCAGTTCTGGTAGCAAATGGAAAAATGTAATATGTCAGATTTCGTATTACTAGTAATTTATCTTGAAAACATCTAAGTATCTTACCCCTATACTCATCTCTCACTTTGTGTGCTAATGGAAGACCTTGGCAAATCAAATGTCAGTGTGGGTGCATCTGTAATATTTTTTACTTGCTTTCTTATTAACAGCAGCCAGGACTTTTTTAAAATCTCAGAGCAAGTTTGCAGAAGGTAAACGCCTTCTCTGTTCACCAATCCTTGGTCGGCTTTGATTTGGTCCACCAGTAAGTTGGCCAACATAATTTGGGTTATTCTGTTCTTTATAGATCAAGATGTTCTGTATATCGTGCCTTTAAGGACTGGACTTTGGCTGTTTCCTAAGGAAAAAATGTAAATAAGTGATTGTTATTTAGAGATTATAAACCTGTTGTTAGCACCTTGCATTATGATGTCATTCTGCTGAAGACTGCAAGACTCAACCTGGATCCCTAGATGGACTAGACTGCCTTAGTTTGATTCTGTTTCCTAGCTTGCACAAAGTGACATACTCAAAAGAAATTAAAATGCCAAAATCTAAACCTAGACTTAAAGTGAGTTAATTTCAAGTATATTTCAGAAAACATTTTAATGATTATATGAGATCTTTGATCCCAGTACCCAGGGCCATCTTCATTTTTAGATAACTGGCCTTGTGGGTCAGACTGCTTTTCAGTTGTCCTCTTACTATGAGCTTATGGACGTGGGCGACTAGAAGCCTGGAAGGGCCATCAACTGAGATTTGGAGGGCTGTGGGTGGAACAAGTTTATTGGGGAAGGTGAATTCACTTTTGGGTGTGTTAAATTGTAGATGTGTACTCTACATTCACATGGAACTGTTGAGTAGGCAATTGGAAAGCATGGATCTGGAGTTCAGGAGAGAGTCTAGGCTAGGGCTAGAAATTAGGGAGTCATTATGGGGACAATATCTAAAAGCTGAATGGTACCACTCACAGAGTGAGTGCATATGAGAAAAACACCTAGGACTCAGGAAATGAGGGACGGGGGGTGACCTGAAGCAACTTCCAAAGTTAGGTGCATTTGGTAATGGGAGAGGAGGCTGGGGAGCCCAGTACTCTATTGAAGTTCCTGGGCCTTGACACTGGAGATGTAAAGAGATCTATAAAGCTTTATCATGGGAACTGTTTGTAAAGCAAAACTCAGACCAGAAGGTTTGGCCAAACCAAATTATTTGGTCTTTTTTTTTTTAAGATTTTATTTATTGGAGAGAGAACGAGCAAGGAGGGAGAGAGAACGAGCAAGGAGAGAGAGAGGGAAAGCAGACTCCCCACTGAGCGTAGAGCCTGAGCAGGGCTCAATCCCAGGACCCTGAGATCATGACCTGAGCTGAAGTCAGATGCTTAACTGACTGAGCCACCCAGGCACCCCTATTTGGTCCTTGTTATAAGGGTAATGATGCTTCTGGTAAGGGGAGAATGCTCAAAATGGAACTAAAGGCCATAAAATGAGAAGTAAGCATCTTGCGATAGAAGGTGAACATTTGCTCCCCAACCCATTCTCTAAGGTTGTCTAATGAAGTTTCTTATACACCCATCTAGAAGTGTTCTAAGCACATAAACCCATCCTTTTTAAAACTCAGACTTCCATTGTATATTTCTATAATTTTCCTTTTTTTCACTTACTCTGTTTGCTATTTCTTTCCATATCCATGGAGATCAGCCACATTCTTTTTAAAAATCTACACTAGAATATAGTTTTCCAAGCTGTGCATGTAGTCCTAGGGTCCCAAGAGCGGAGACCATAAAAGTCCTAATCCTCCCCTCTGGTGTCCCCTAACAAATGGCCCTTGCTGTTCTATGTGAACATTCAGGCTCATAATCTCATTCCAGTGGGATTGTTTATTCAAGTATTACTTGTTTGGGTTTTTAAAGATTTTATATATTTATTTTGAGACAGCGAGCAGGGGGAGGGGAGGAGGCAGAGGGAGAGAGAATCTCAAGCAGACTCCACACTCAGCGCAGAGCCCAACGTGGAGCTTGATCTCAACACCCTGAGATCACCACCTGAGCTGAAGTCAAGAGTCAGAAATTTGACTGACTAAGCCACCCAGGTGCCCCTCAAGTATTGTTTATTAAGACAAAATCAGACTCCCTGTAACTGCATTGACAGTAAGTGTGTATTTTGGTTCTTTATAGAAAACATCTAAACGTTTGTAACAACGGTGAATGTTTCTTGAAACCTTTGCCCAGATGTGCCAAGCACCTTTATTGCATACTGTTTGATTTTAATCCTTGGAAAAAACACCAAGTTGGATAATATTCTTAGGTAATAGGTTGGACATTTGGGACTCAAGGCAAAGCCTGAATTGCCCTTACCAAATATGAAAGCCCAAGTGCCTTTAAGGGCCGGGCAAGTAAAGAAGGGGTGGGGGTGGGCAGAGCCATAGACAGTAGTGGGGACCTAAGTCGATTGTTAAATGTATATTTTATGTAAAAGCAGTCTTCTCTCCCCCCCACCCCCGCCCCAATGTTGGTTAAGCCATGTGCTCTAGCTTTATAAGGATTTTCTTACTTGCAACAACTGTTAGACCTCTCGTTCATCATTTCCAAGGCTAAAAATCCTCTGGGGTTGCGTCAAATGTTTTATGTATGACGGAGATTCAGACCCGTTGCCTCTGGATAAGCTTCCCCTGGTCAGTGCACTCGCCGCATACTGATTCCTTCTGCCCCGTCGTGTGAGGTGCTAAAGGCATAACAGGAAAAATTGGGCATGGTCATTGAGGAGCGGAGGTTGCAAACTAGTGAACACAGATGTCGGCCTGCATTTTGTTTTTAAAAATGGAAGGGTTCGCATTTTGATTTGGGGCTTTTTCTTGAAAAGTCACTAGATTTTTCTTCTGTACTGAGACGCTACAACCACCTGGAGCAAGGTAGTAAAGCAGCTTCGTCTGAGCAGAATTGTCCAGTTCACCACAGTCCTCACCGTTGCTTGGCTGCTTGTGTGCCCAATCTGCTAACTGTTTTTGTTAAGGGCAAGAGTGCGTCTTAGGGTTGCACAAAGTCCAGCACAGTGTTTGGGGGCACTTCAGTTTATTAAATGAACCAAAGTTCAAAGTGCATTTCCATCCCAGGATGCTATGTAATGTTCCTTCGAGGTGTGGACAGTTGGGCTGGAACTATTCGATTCAGGTGGTCCTGAATGACCCTCCCGTCAGCTGCCTGGCAGGCCGGCTCCTCCTCAGACTGGTTGGTGCCACCTGTGAGTCCAGTCTCCGCCTGGCACCCTTTGCTCAGGCCGTTGAGCCCAGTTCGCAACCACCTGCACGTTCCATCCGGCGGGGCCCTGGGGTGTCCCTGCCGGCTGACACAGAAGAGCCTTCTGTTACTGGTTCAATGAGGGAAGCTGGTCGAGGGACAGTCAGTTTTGACCTTCAAAGGGTTATAAACCAAATTAATTCGCCATAGTTGTCTTGTGTCATCTAAACTCCTATCTCGAGGCCTCTCTCCTAGACATGATCCCCCAGGCTCCTGGCCTCACGCGTTCAGTTATGGTTTAGTGCCAGGGCGGGGAGGGTAGAGTCCTATTAGCTGTAAGGTGTTGGGCAAATCGCGTCTGGAGCTTCATTTTCCTTTTAAGGTGGGGATAAACCAGTTCCCATCTGCGAGGGTAAATGTGCGGATTAAATAAAACCGTGTGGGAGGGCGCTTCACACACAGACTGGCACCCAGTAAGCGCTCAGTTAATGGAAGCTGCTGTTTGAGGAAGTGAAGACGGTCAGTCCCTTGGCTTCAGGGAGTAGTTCCTCGGGTGAAGCTCAGGAGGGGAGAGAACCCATCTGTTATCCCTGGGGCCAACCTGAAGAATCTGCTGTCCCATGGAGTTGGGCACCCCAGCTAGCATGGCAGTCGGGCCCAGCCAAGGCAAGGGAGGGAATGAGAAGGTCTCCAGCCCCTGGCACTCCCCCAGCATGCACCTGGGAGGCTGTGTGCTCCAGTCCCGTGGAACAAGAGGGGAAGGGAGAGGACCCGAGCACCCCACTGTAGCCCTCACGGGGGCCACCGAGGCCCCTGCCGCAGAAGGCCCTGCAGGGAGCCCTCGCAGACCGCCTCTCCTGGAGCTTGTCTTCCCTCACTTCTCCCACAGGCCCTGTTTTCACCTCTTTCTCCACTTTCCCTCCTTAGTCTTGCCCCTTGCTACTCGAAGCGTGGCCTGCAGACCAGGAGTTTGTTAGAAACGCAGAATCTTGGGCCTGCCTCAGCCCTGCTAAATCCAAACCTGCGTTTAAACAAGACCTGTAAGGTTGGTGCCTGAGAAGCACTGGTTTGGGGCTCCCTGTGCCTCCTAATCCATTTCTTCCCTTTGGGCCTGGACCTTCTCTGGCAGCACCAATGGCTGAGGGTGGGGGGCACCCAGAATTTAGAGCTCCTCCTCCTTGATCCACCTGTAACTCTCCAGCCAACCCAGTAACTCCCAGTGTCTCAAAGAAGCTTCACAGAAACGGCATGGACACAACACAGGAAGGCTTTGTGAAGATGCTTCGTGTGAGCAGTGAGAAACCAAAACAAGTCCCACAGATGGCGAAGGTCCATGGCAGGAGTGGGAGCACATTCAAGTGCTCTGAAGGCTAGGGGAAGGGAGCTGTGTAATTTAGGACCCAGTGAGAGGCAGGGTATGTTTTCCTGCATTTGTGGGAAGCAGGCCTTGCAGCTCAGGAGCTGCCCCTGAACATTGGAGGTGCTGACTTTCCTCCCTGGCTCTGTGGGTCTCCAATGCCTCCATTCTTTCGTTCCTTTCCCTAACTGGGGAAGAGCCAACTAGAAAGTGCTCCGGTCTTGGCTAAGGTTCTAGTCCTTCGAGAGGGTTTTCTCTAGGATTAATATCCACCGAGTTTGCTCTGAGACCACCACCCTCAGGACCACAACTGAAAAGGTGGCAATAGCCGAATCACCAACACAGCTAGCAGGGTTCGTGGCCTGGCGGAGTGGAGATGACTGGCACGAGGAGCTGGGGCTGAGTCAGATCTCTGGATATAGCTGCGGGCTTCTGTCCCTTCAGCCATGATCTGAACGTTTTAAGACTTCAGAGCATATTGACAGGGTACTTGCTAAGAGCGCCAAGTTTGCCCTTCTTGGGGATGTCAGAAAATGCCAGGTATTTTCTCCATTTAATGGGAGTGAAACCACAGTGGGACCAGAAGAGCATGGACTGAATGGGCCCAAGATTAAGGACTCCTGCTCATTCTGAACATTGACTCAAGATGGTCTTGCGCTGTATTGCTCTCCCAGGGCTGTTGGCAGAATAGAGTACATTTATTTTCCAAGGCCCGGGTCACCAAAACTTGGAACTTGAGAGTACTTTGGAGGCAAAATATCTCTTTATTAAAACAACTCAACTTAAACATTAACCAAAAAAGTAGACCACAGAGCTTTGAAGGCCGCTCTATCTTGATACAATTAGGTCCTCTAGATGCCTTAGCCATTATCAGTCACAGCTTTAATCTAACCTTAGTTTTATCTCCAGACTTTGTTTGAAATCTGTCTGTTAATTCACCTTGAATTCTACTTTTAAGTTTATTCATGAAGTGT